TTGGCCTGCTGTGTTCATCCAGCTCTACACCTTGTTATCTCAGATTCTCCAGCATCTGCAGTTCCTACTATCTCTGAACCACTTAGTCTGTACTCATCTCCATGCTCAATGACTCTCTTCCTCCTCTACACACCACCAATTGGGTCCTGACATCACATGACTTAGATGTGCAATGACTCAAAACGCAATGATGCATAAGGCATATGACACAATGTTAATCCAAAACTACCGATGTAACTTGAAGAAATAAGTCCTTAAAATAAAGTGTTCATATGAAATAACAATAAGCGGGACAGTGTAAAACAAGTCAGAGTCACAGAGATGTACAGCACGGAAACAGACTCTTCGGTCCAAATTGTCCACGCTGACCAGATATCCTAAGTTAATCTAGTCCCATTTGCCAACATTGGCCCATATCCCTCTAAACCCTTCCTATACATGTACCCATCCAGATGCCTTTTAAATGTCGTATCAGCCTCCACCACTTCCTCTGGCAGCTAATTCCACATACACACCATCCTCTGTGTGAAGAAGTTGCCCCTTAGGTCCCTTTTAAATCTTTCTCCTCTCACCTTAAACCTATGCCCTCTAGTTTTGGACTCCCCTGCCCTGGTGAAAAGACCTTGGCTGTTCACCCTAACCGTGCCCCTCATGATCTTATAAACCCCTTCAACGCTCCAGGGAAATAGCCCCAGCCTACTCAGTCTCTCCCTATAGCTCAAACCTTCCAAGCCTGGCAACATCCTTGTAAATCTTTTCTGAACCCTTTCAAGTTCCACAACATCTTTCCTATAGCTGGGAGACCAGAATTGAACTGTAAAACAAATATTTTTAATTTTTAAAAAAAACAAGGACTATCAATACTGCACCTTCAAGTTCCCCTTCAAGTCTGAAGACACCTTAATTTAGCAGTATGTCATCTTCAGTCACTGGTCTAAATCCTGGAATTTTGGATCGACCTACATTACATTGACTGCAGAGGTTCAAGAAGGCTGCTCATCACCATCTACTTCAGGGCAATAAATGGCAGCCTCTGATAAATGCTCACTTCTTACAAATGAATTTTTTAAAAATTCTTTCATGGAATGTGGACATGTAGGCCAGCTTTTATTGTATTAAAACAAAATGCTTGCTATAAATCCCTATACAACCAACACATTCCAAAACCACTATCCGAATACAACTAATGCAGTCCAACAAAGCACCAAACAAGTTATCACGCATATTTATAAAGCTGGATATGAATATGCCAACCTGCACAGAAATCTGATAGTCTATTCCAGGCACCAGTCGGTTTTCGTCTGCTTTCCAAAGCTCATTTAGTATGTTGGAAAGCTCCTGGTTCATTACCAACCTGAAAGAGAGAAAACAGCACAATCTGAAAAACAGTTCTTTTGAGGGCTGGGAGAGACCTACTTTCTTCGATGCCAGTCACAGCTTTCAGCTCTGTCCCTTCCAGAAACAACCAAATAGTGCGACTTGTACTACAATTAACGCACACCCGGAATATCCCAAAGCATTCCACAGCCTTTTTGAAGTATAATCACTTGTGATGTAGGCAAGCAAAATTACAAGTCAGGAACTAATTACAGAGGGAAGTAATTGAGTACAGAAAGCATTCTTAATGCAAGGCAGACCGGTCAAAACATCTGTGTTATGGATATAGGTACAGTGTCATGACAAGGAAGTGAATGACATTTCTGGCCAAAAGTCAATTATTTCTTGGCACATAATCATCGGGACAATTTCGTACCGTATTGAGAATCCCTCATTTCACTCAGTTCCAGAGTCTTTAACTCTGAGCTTCCCAATTTCTTTCCCCGTTTCCTATATCAATTTTTCAGATTCAGTGCAACCCTGGGGTCTGTAGTGGGTTGGGGTGGGTGTGGGGGAGTGGTTTTGGCTGCTGGGGTCATGTTTGGGAAACTCTGCTCTGAATAAAAACAGTGGAGGAGACTTCTCAGCTCATTGGTTAATCAGGTCCTTCTTTAGGATTCTTACACTCATTTTGTATATCTCCCTGCTTCCGTGCCAAGTTTGGGTTTGTTTGTGAGGATCCTCTTTGTTTGGAAGATTTCAACAAAGTTGTAAGTTACTGTAATGAGCAAGGCCAGTTCCTTCAGTTAATTCCAGTAGGGTTGAAAGATTTGTTCCTTAACTGATCGGGGCAACCAGGGATGGGGGAGAAAATGTCAGACTGGATGATCAACATCCTGACAACAATTCTCTTCTTAAGAAACAACATAATTTACCCTAATTTGTGGTTTTAGTTCTTAGATTTCTACTCTAGGCTCCACTTGCAAATTATTACAGCTACTTTAAAATGCTTAAAAGAACATGAAACAAACCACATGAACAAATCCTCATCTGTTCACCAATTTCTTCTCATCCCTCGTCTGACCCTAATGTTTTTACTTGTTCATCCCAGAACCTATGTATTTCCCGAATTAACTACAGAATCCTCCAAAGCTTCTGCACTACATCCCAGAATACTGAAGGAGGTGGCTATAGAGATTGTGGATGCATTGATGGTCAATGTGCAAACTTTGATAGATTCGGGAAAGAAGGAAGTATAAACCTACTATTAATATGGGAAGGAGAGAAAAATTACAGACCCGCTGGTTTCACATCAGTAGAGAAAATGTTAGAATAGATTATAAAACAATGGAATAACTGCAAGCTAAGATACAAAGACAGAAATTGCTGGAAAAACTCAGCAGGTCTGCAGCATCTGTGAAGAGACAGCAGAGTTAATGTTTCGGGCCCAGTGACCCTTCCCCAGAACTGAAGGAGGACCCAAAACATTGACTCTGCCTTCTCTTCACAGAACCTGTCAGCACTCTTGAGTTTTTCCAGCAATTTTCAATTTGTTTTTGATTTCCAGCATCCACCGTTTTTTTCTTGGATGCTAAGGAAATCCAATTGAGCAGAATCAACATGGATTTATGAAAGGAAAATCATGTTTGACAAACTTGGAGATTTTTTGAGGATATTACTTGTAACATGGATAAAGGAGAACCAGTGGATATGGCATTTTTGGATTTTAACTCTGACCAATCCTACCACTATTTTCTAAGTGTCCTGTTTCACATCCTTTATTATAGATTTAAACATTCCTCTGTAACTAATGTTAAGGATAACAGGTTTGTACTTCACAGTGTTTTCTCTCCCTCCATTCTTGAATAGTGGGGTAATATCTCCTACAAAACTTCAGGAATCATTCCAAAGTTCACAGAATCTTGAAAGACTACCCAACAATGCACCTACAGCTTTCTCTTCTAACACTCTAGGATGCAGGTCATCAATTTCAGAGGAGTTGTCTACTTTAAGTCCCATTAATTTCTCTAGTGCTATTTTAAAAACTAATATTAATATCTTGAAGTTTTTTGCTTGATAAACTCTTGATTATTTCTGGGAGGCTTATAGTATTTTTCTCCATGAAAACCGTGCATCGGAGTAATACACACCTACAAGTTCTCCTCTAGGCAATCCAATCCATCCAGATTTTGAACTACATCGCTGTTCTGTCACAGTCTCTGGTCTCTGGTTAGAAATATTGGAACTTCCCTCACTCATAGCAATGTGGGTGTACCTGTGCCAAATGGACAACAGAGGTTGAAGAAGGCAGCTCACTATCGCCTTCTCCAGGACAATTTGGGAGAGGGAATAAATACTGGCCTAGCCAGCAAAGCTCACATCCTGTGAACAATTGAAAAAAAAAGCTTGATTTCAGAAGGACCATTAAATCTGACAGTCACCCATTAGACTGGGTGAGATATTGATGGGTGCAGCAGAGTTATCAGATTAAACTGGATAGCCTCTAGGAGAACTACACTGGTGCAATTGGGAATGAGCATTCTGTTTTTATGCACAAATGTTTTGTGAATCTCTCTTACAATAACTAAATCATTAAGCATGCTGTTCTTCCCACTGTTGGTTTTAGCGTTAGCCTATTACACTTTCCCAAGTGGCAAATCTTCCTTTATTGAATGAGTTATAATGTAAACTAAAGTGCACTGTTTGAAATGGAGATTTCTGTGATGCTTGATTCCAACATTGTCATTGTCCATGGACTCAGGACCCTGTGACAAACAAGGTGAAAACAAAATGTCCCCTTCCTTCAGAAGTTTAAATAGATTCAGGTTGACTTTTATTTGAATATGACCAAGCGAATTAGGAGCAGGAGTAGGCCATTTGTCCCATGTGTCTGCTCCAACATGTAATAAGATCACAGCTGACCTGACTGTGGCTTCAATTCCACATTCTCATCTACTTTTAGAACCATATATCCTTGACCCAAGATGTCATTGAGCTGCACTCCACTGAGGATAAATAAAGTGTGGGCGCAGTTGGATAAATGGATAGAAGTTCAGTAAAGTTCAGGGAATAGTCTCCTAATAATGTAAAAATAAAATTACAGCCTGGCATAGCTCAGATCACCACATACAGTAGTATTTACTGCTGATATATAATAGAGTTCTAAAGAAGCCTAAGTCTGAAGATAGTTCTTGATCTTTTCTCCTCCTTGGCCAGTCCATTTTTAACCCAAGACTACTCATCTCCGCCTTAGGAATATTCAATTACCCTGCCTCTTAAGAGTTCCAAGGTCCATTAACACCCAGACAGAAAACAAAATCCATTTCATGTCAGTCCTAAATGAGACCTGCTATTTTAAATCAGAGATAGTAGGAACTGCAGATGCTGGAGAATCCGAGACAACAAGGTGCAGGGCTGGATGAACACAGCAGGCCAAGCAGCATCATAGGAGCAGAGAGGCTGATGTTTCGGGCCTAGACCCTTCATCAGAAAAGGGGGAGGGGAAGGGCGTTCCGAAATAAATAGGGAGAGAGTGGGAGGCGGATAGAAGAGGGATAGAGGAGAGGATAGGTGGAGAGGAAACAAACAGGTCGAAGAGGCGGGGATGGAGCCAGTAAAGGTGAGTGTAGGTAGGGGGTTAGGAAGGGGATAGGTCAGTCCAGGGAGGACGGACAGGTCAAGGGGGCGGGATGAGGTTGGTCGGTAGGAGATGGAGGTGCGGCTTGAGGTGGGAGGAGGGGATAGGTGGGAGGAAGAACAGGTTAGGGAGGCAGGGACGAGCTGGACTGGTTTTGGGATGCGGTAGAGGGAGGGGAGATTTTGAAACTTGTGAAATCCACATTGATACCATTGGGCTGCAGGGTTCCCAAGCGGAATATGATTTGCTGTTCCTGCAACCTTCGGGTGGCATCGTTGTGGCACTGCAGGAGGCCCAGGGTGGACATGTCATCTGAGGAATGGGAGGGGGAGTTGAAATGGTTCGCGACTGGGAGGTGCAGTTGTTTATTGCGAACCGAGCGTAGGTGTTCTGCAAAGTGGTATCAATGTGGATTTCACAAGTTTCAAAATCTCCCCTCCCCCTACCGCATCCCAAAACCAGTCCAGCTCGTCCCTGCCTCCCTAACCTGTTCTTCCTCCCACCTATCCCCTCCTCCCACCTCAAGTCGCACCTCCATCTCCTACCGACCAACCTCATCCCGCCCCCTTGACCTATCCGTCCTCCCTGGACTGACCTATCCCCTTCCTAACTCCCCACCTACACTCACCTTTACTGGCTCCATCCCCGCCTCTTCGACCTGTTTGTTTCCTCTCCACCCATCCTCTCCTCTATCCCTCTTCTATCCGCCTCCCACTCTCTCCCTATTTATTTCGGAACCCCCTTCCCCTCCCCCTTTTCTGATGAAGGGTCTAGGCCCGAAACGTCAGCCTCTCTGCTCCTATGATGCTGCTTGGCCTGCTGTGTTCATCCAGCCCTGCACCCTCTATTTTAAAACTGTGTCCTGTTGTTCTATTCTCTCCTGCAAGGGGAAACATCCTTGCAGAATCCATCCAGTCAAGTCCCCTCAGGATCTCAGATGTGCCGATAAAAATCACCTTTTATTTGTCTAAACTGCAGTGTTTGCAGGCCCAAGTTTCCTCAAAGTGTAACGCACACCCAAGCCTAGCTATCGGTTTAGTGAACTTCCTCCTAATACATTTACAACTTTTTTCTTATATAAAAAAAACTTCAGATACTTGCAAACTTCTATGTCATTGTCAATATTAAAGTGACAGCATTTTAAATTACAGGACGCACAAAATTTTATTTTAAAAAATGCTATTCTAGTCAAGAGGAAGTCATTAATTACTCATAACAGGGATGGGATCAACCACAAGCACTCCCACCAGAAACTAACAGCAGGAGAGCTCTCAATGCATATTTTACAAAAATGCCGTTCAGACAGCCTGCGATACATTTTTGATGAAAGCAAGCAAAATCAAAGCACAAACTGCATGCTGTTTGCAAGTTCAATATGCTTAAAACGCTGCACAAAAGAT